GCTCAACCAACTGAGCCACCCAGGCGCCCCACATAGTCAATTTTTATGTGCTTCCACATTTATACCTCACAACAGATAGATGGATAGATAGAAAGATTGATGGGTAGATAGGGATTATATTTTGCCAACATAAAAAAAAAAAATATTTACACCGGGGTTAAAAGGCAGAGGCAAAATTACTTTTTAAAAATCCTAGAACAGGGCGCCTGGGTGGCTCAGTTGGTTAAAAATCCTAGAACAAGGGTGTCTGGGTGGCTCAGTCAGTTGGGTGTCTGCCTTTGGCTCAGGTCATGATCCCAGAGTCCTGGGATGAGCCCCGCATCGGGCTCCCTGATCAGCCAGAAGTCTGCTTCTCCTCTCCTTCTGCCCCTCCCCACCGCTTGTGCTCTCTCCCTCACATGCTCTCTATCTCTCTCTCAAGTAAATAAAAAAAATCTTTAAAAAAATCCTAGGACACACCTGTGTTGAGGGAGCAAACCATAAACATCATGGTTAAATCGAGTGTTTAATTTATTCTCTGCCCATCTGTTGATTAAGAATGTAGGATAAAATTTGTTGAGGACAGCATTAAAACGAGTGAAGAGAACAGTGTCCGTGGGCATTCCATTATCCCAGACCTGGTTCCAAATCCATGCACCCCGCCTTGTGCTGAGAAACACCTAGGAGAGAATGCAAGTAAATGAAAAATAGATGCCTCACAATGTAAGACTTTCTTTTCCCAGTTTTTCAGATATCTCTCATTTGGCTCATGAGAAATGGACAAGAACTATCTTGCCTTGTTCTCAAAGACAGATAGACAAACAGATCCGGGCACACACACTCATACAAAGGGACACATCTGACTGGTTTCCTACAGTCCCAGAGAGCTCCCCATGCCTTCCTCCGGATCTCACTCTCTATCCTTCCTGTGCTGTCTCCAAAGCAGTGTTTGATGCCTGCCATCTCTTATATTGCAAATTCTGGGCAAGCACAGTGATGCAAGGAGACTAGCGATCAACAAATTCCCACACACCATCCATCTGCTAATTATTAGATATTACAGAATTTAGAATACTTAGTTAATAAGTATCCCTTGAAATATAAGTATGGAAGGAATCAGAGTTGGAAGATGTATCACATGTAATGTCAGTGAAAAATAAAGGGATTTAAAGTGGGTTTCTGATAGAGTTCATATTTGTAACTGGTGGCTGAGATGGTGAAGTCTACACGCTCTGGTAAAAATAAACCATATGGCAGTCACTAAAGTTTGAAATGTTTATTTTTATTCCATTCTCATTTTTTAACTGTATTTCCAAGATGTCTACCAAGAAAGCAAGTGTGAGGAGGTAATTAACAATCAGGATTGAAGCAGCGTATGGGTACACCTGACATATTTCATGCCATGTTAACATCTGAGAGGGCAGTGGGCAAGGTGCATCTCGGGAAAGAGAATTGTAGGAACCAAACCTGTGAAGCTACATGACTGAGCTCAACTGCCAAATCAGCTCCAGAATTCCCAATGCCGACCACGATGATTTTCTTCCCCCGAAATTTCTCTGGACTCTTGTAATCCCAGCTGTGAATATATTGACCTTTGAATCTCTTGATTCCTGTGGGCAAGAAAGTATTGCTCAAGCCTTGGTCATTATTTCATATTATTTTTTAAAGCTTATTATTGAACTCAAAGTCCATCCTATTTGAACTTCTGCTTTGTTGTTCTGTAAATGCTGGGCTATGGACTGTGTCTGCCCATCATCAGACAGAAGAAATCCTCATACAATTTTGTTCTAGACCCTAAGTTGCATGTTTACATTCAGACATCTAATTTCTGCCTCCTTTTTACTTACCTCTAACCCTGCCAAACCTTCAAAGAAGAGTTTGGCTCCTATTTAAGTAGTACATCTTCCTTATTCTTCATCCTTGTTATTAATAACTACTGCTTGGACCCACTTTCCTGTCTTGCTTTTCCAACCCAAGCTTCATTCTTGTCCAGATGTTTTCATCTCTTCCTGGGCCCAGTACACCCTTCCCACCAGCACTTTTCACCCTGCTTTCCTACTGGGGACAAAAGCTCCAACGTCATCCACCAGGATCTGAAGCTAAGAGAATGTAGGAACTTTGTATTTTTGCCTAAAAATTTGCTCTGGCTTAAAGCAGAAACCTCATATGGCAAAGCCATAGAAGCTGGTTAATTTTGCAGCATTTCACGTTTTAAACAACACTGAGGTCTGCACGTATGGGCTTCATTTTCTCCTCTGGTGATGGTTGACAGCCCTAGTCAGTCCTTGCCCTGTTCCTTTCTCCCTACAGAATCTGATCCCAAACTCCAGCTTTCTTTTGGAAACAGTTCTTCGATCCTCCCCTAGTAAACTCCTGGCATGGATCTATTGTTCCCAAACTCCATCTTTGCAAGTTCGATAGTCCATCAAATTTCTCACTGTGGCTGTTTCAGTATTTTCCCCTCCCCTTGGTCCCACTGCATTTTATCTCATTTCCTGAAGACAACTTTTTTCTCATTTTTACAAAACAACAAAATCTTTTTTTTTTTTAAGATTTTATTTATTTATCTGAGACAGAGAGAATGAGAGAGACAGAGAGCACATGAGAGGGGGGAGGGTCAGAGGGAGAAGCAGGCTCCCCGCCGAGCAGGGAGCCCGATGCGGGACTCGATCCCGGGACTCCAGGATCATGACCTGAGCCAAAGGCAGTCGCTTAACCAACTGAGCCACCCAGGCGCCCACAAAACAACAAAATCTTAAGTGAGTGTCTCAACACCTAAAAGTTACTTTGTGTTCATCCATCTGTCCTCTGTCTCCTTTCCCCAGGAGGAAATATTTCTCTTCTATTCCAAAATGAACACTTTGCCCTGTGGGTCAAAATGCGAGGGGGTTTTGAGGTCAAACAAACATAGGCACAAATCTCAGCTTTTTCTCTACTAGTGACATTTGCAATGTGTAAAATGGAAATGGTTTCACTTAGCTCATAGGAATGGTATAAGGATCCCTTAACACATTCTTATATAGTACTCAAGAAATAGGTTTAATGTTCTTCCTTAAGTATCTTTAATCTCAGCCCACCCTCCCTCATTTTTAATGAGCATCTGTTCAACCTTGTTACCTTGTGGCCTCCTCAATCTTCCTCCCTCATACAGGTAGAATCAGCTCTTCCTGCAGTCTTGCCTGTCTCCAGAAATGGCAACTCAATTGCTGGGACCAACAACATGAGAGTTATCCTCGACATCTCTTGATTACATCTCACATCTGGTCCATCTGCAAATTCCATCATCTCTATGTTCGCACTATACTCGGGATCCGAGCACTTCATTATATCTCCACTGTCACCCCCTGGTCCAACCTACCATCATTTCTCACCTGAACTCGTGCAAGAGCTTCCTCCCTGGTCTCCTCACTTCTACCCTTACCACCTTGTTCCCTGACTATTCTGAACGCTGCCGCCAAAGAGATTAGAGCATCCCTCTCCTCTGCTTGAAACCTCCTAACAGCTCTTACCTCACTCAAAGTCAAAGCCAGAGTGAAAACAATGGCTCACTGTTCACTCTCTGACATCATCTCCTTCCTACCCCTTCCACTCCCACCCCACAGGACCCGTGAGTCACACTCCCACCTTGAGGCCTTTGCACTTGCTCTTCCTTCTGCACAGTGCGCTTTCTCCCTATAGCTGCCTCACTTCCTCAATTCCTTTGGGCATTTGCTCAAATGTCCCTTTCTCATGGAAACCTTACCTGGCCACTTTATCTGATCTTGCATCACAACCCCCATTCCTAAAAGCTCTCCCCTTTTCCACAGTCATCGTCTCCCACATATTTATCCCATTTTTGTCTGTGTCCATCTACTGCATGCACACTCCTCAGGGACAGAGGTTTTGCCTGTTTTGTTCTCTGCTGAGCCTCTGGACAATTGGTGCTGGATAGGTATTTCTTGACTGAATGTTGAATGAATGAATACAGGAATATTTAAATTTCTAACTAACGAACCAACTAATAGATTTCTCTTGACCAATTTTAACCTTCTCTATCTTCTCATACACTGGGAAACAGACACTCATAGCAATGGAAGTGGAGGGAGTCTAGAATTTCCTGAGAACTCCAAAGGACTCTCAAGTTCAGCACTTTTTGAGAAGACTGGGTGTATATCCTGTTCCCTAGAGATAAACAGGGAGATGTTTTGCAGGTAGACCATTCCCACACCATTTCTTATATGCAAGGTGCTTAAGCTTCCAGATAGTAAACAATAGCATAGCAGTAGCTTCTAAGATATGTACATGGCTATTTATAGTCATCATGCTATGCATATACGTATACATTCAGGAATAAAGCTAAATCTTAATATATTTTCTGTCCCTTTGATCCTACTATTTACTTGAAACTATTTTTTTTTTAAAGATTTTATCTATCTATTTGACAGACAGACACAGCAAGAGACGGAACACAAGCAGGAACAGAGGGAGAGGGAGAAGCAGGCTTCCCGAGGAGCAGGGAGCCCGATGTGGGGCTCGATCCCAGGACCATGGGATCATGACCCGAGCCGAAGGCAGACGCTTAATGACTGAGCCACCCAGTGCCCCTTGAAACTATTTTTTTTAAGTTTTCATTTATTTATTTAAGCAATCTCTACACCCATTGTGGGGCTCAAAATCATGACCCCGAGATCAAGAGTCCCATGCTCTTCGAACTGAGCCAGCCAGGCATTCCGTATTTACTCCAAACTATTACCAACACAAAACAACTCCCACATTTTTGCTTTCCAGTTGTGGAAAAATGTAGCACTTTTCTCTTAAAATAGCCTAGAACTTGTGGTGATAGGATATTAGTAATTTTAATTTTATAACATTATGTATTATTTGAATGGACCCTGAAAGAATATGCATCCCTGTCCCAGAGTTTTGGGCCTCAATGAGTAAGGTTGGTTATAACTACTTTCCTTTGGGGTTTCCTGAAAGAGTTTCTTTGAAGCTGGTTTCCCTACCAAGGCTTTTTAAAGTAGAGATGGAGGTCAGAGTGTCCCCAGCTGCAGTCCTAAATGTAGTTGGTGATGAGCCAACACCCGGTGCATATAGTCTGGTGTTTCAACCAATCCATCAGACTTTTTCCTGAAGGAAGCGAGGAGGGAAGGTCCTGCTGACTTTACCGGAGATGCTCGTAGAGCTAACCTCCCCGCCTGAATGGGTGTGCCTTCCTGCCCCTCACGCTGGCCTGGCTCTTGACTCCACCAAGAGGCTCTGCACTTGCTGAGAGTTTCCTGCCTCACTTACCAGAAACCGGATATATTTCGTTAGGTGAAAGTGTTGCACGTACATCCTGAGGTACTCCATGATTCTGGAATTGTGCAAGTAGTTGGGGAAGTGATCGGGGAACGGGTAATCACTGTAGGTTGTCATCTCCTTCGAAGTTTTGCTGGTGGCAGATTCATAGATGCTTGGCCTGCCACTCTTGGCCTTCTCCTACCAAGAAAAATAAGGACACTCCCTGTCTTTTAGAATACAAGAGTAACACTTAAAAAAATCAATTCCTTTGTTTGTCAAATTATGAGGCTCCTGGGATGAATTCCTTCAAAGAAAGTAAGGTTGCTTTTCCAGTACCTTCACTAAGAGATAAGATACCTTGTCGTAAATGGTTTAAAAGAGCAAATAATAGGGGCGCCTGGGTGGCTCAGTCGTTAAGCGTCTGCCTTCAGCTCATGTCATGATCCCAGAGTCCTGGGATCGAGTCCTGAATCGAGCTCCCTGCTCAGCGGGGGTCTGCTTCTCCCTCTCCCACTCCCCCTGCTTGTGTTCCTTCTCTCACTGTGTCTCTCTCTGTCAAATAAATAAATAAAATCTTTAAAAAAAAAAGATTGGGATTCAAAGTACAGGTATAGGCACTAATAAAAATAATACTTATTATGCTAGTAGTTGAGGATAAGTTACTGCTGGAGTCTTTGCATTCCTATTTCCCAGATATGGAAAAGCTGCCATCACACATATGGAAGCATAGTCTATTCAAACTTACCTCGTATCTCCACAGTCCTCCAATATCATCACTTCCTTCAAAACAGGTGGGCTCCAGTCCCTCCTCCAGACAGGTCTTAATGGCACCCAATCCACTGACTCCAGCGCCAATCACCGCAATTCTTTTTCCTGGCATTGCGTCTTGTATCAGGGTATTTATTAGTAGAACATCGGATTTTTCTTGTCATGTACTTTTTTTCTATAATGAAAGATCATTATAGAAAATTGCTAGCTAATGCATTTAAGAAATGTCCTACTCAAAGTTGTTATCCAATTCAAAGGCTCTCTGAGTGACAGAAAACCCTACCTCACACCATACTTTCTCTTTTTCAAGTACAAAGTAGACTGCTTTAAAAAAAAGAAAAAAGATTTGACTCCTAAAGTTACACACACACACACACACCTCTCCATACACAGATTTTGCCCAAACTGACTTTTAATTCCTTCTGCTACTACTATCCACTTGCTGAAACACTCATGTTGGGTACTTCTGCACTGTTTACTCTTGATTTAGGCCAGAGAATCCCTACTTTTGCCCTGTGATAGGATTTGAAGTGGGAATGGGGATTGGGGGGAAGAAAACTCCAACAGAGCGTTTCATCAATCACTCATCACACCTTCTTGGGGCAGAGCGCAAGCTACCCTGTAAAAGGTCTTCAGAAAAGTACTTCAACTATCTTCACACCAAAGATTAATCTTCTACAATTCATTCATTCAGTAAACATTTGCTGGCACCTACTACGTGCCAGATACTACTTCAGTTGAGCAAATACAGCAGCAAACAGATCTGACATAGTTCCTTGAAAACAGGTGGAGAATAAACAAAGAAGTACATAAGTAGTAAGCGGGATGATGATGCATACTATGGAGAAAAAGGGAGCAGGGTATTGTTTTCTATAACATGGTCAAGGAAGGGCTACCTGATGACATTTAAGCAGGAAGTGGGAGATCGAGCCTACTTGTGGGTATCTGAAAGAGAATTCCAAGCAGAGTCTGAGGCAGAAACATGCTGGGTATTTTTGAAGAAAAGCAAGGGAAGCTTTGTGAGGGGGTGCCAAATGGGTAGAGTGCATAATGAGGTTGGAAAGGAAGTATTAGGTGTCAGTGTCAGAGTCAGGATCAGTCTCAGAGGTCAGATCAGGTAGTGCACTTTCCAAAGGATGGAGCAAAGAAAATATTTGGACAATATCAACAGGTACTCAGAGATGCCACTTACCAGTGAGTGCCTCTGAGGACACTATCCTCCTCATCCTATCTGCTCTACGAGGTTGTTCCATCCTCTTCTATTCAGCTAAATCATGAAGAAATAGAGTCCCCCCCCCCCCAATTTTCTTTTCTTTTTTTAGGAAATAGAGTTTTCTTGGGGCACCTGGGTGGCTCAGTTAGTTAAGCATCCGCCTCTGGCTCAGGTCATGATCCCAGGGTCCTGGGATCGACCCCGCCTTAGGCTCTCTGCTCAGCAGGGAGTCTGCTCCTCCCTCTCCCTCTGCCCCTCCCCTGGCTCATGCTCTCTCTCTCTCTCTGTGTGTCAAATAAATAAATAAAATCTTTAATAAAAAAAAAGAAATAGAGCTTTCTTAAGAGAGGCTTCCTTAACTATCATCTGGCCATTTTCTCCCTGTATCTTTGCTCTTTACTCTGAATTTTTCTCTGAAGGAGAAACTGAACGGAATTCTGTACTGCATTTTAACAAGTTTACATTATAGTGGATTAGAGCAGCTATTAAAATATGTGACTATTTTTTAATCTGGAGTTCCTTGGTAAATTCCTTTAAATTAAGGCTTATTAACATAACCCTGTTCCACCGATGTGTTGCTACTGCTTGAAAATATATCCAGAGGCTATAGGCAATGAGTTTACCCAATGACAGCAGCAAGTACCTAAATAATCCCCCTGAATACAGTAGTTAATGCATAGGTTTTTCAAGTACTTAGCAGGACTGTAATATCAGCCAACATCCTGGATCACGAAGTAGCAGAATGAGTGCATATTAACAAAGAAATTGCTATCAACAGAAATACATGGATAATGAATATTGCATTTATTAATTTGAAAAGTAGATCCAAATACTCAGCGCCCATTTTTTTTTAAAGATTTTATTTATTTATTTGATAGATAGAGAGAGAGAGACAGCACAAGTAGGCAGAGCGGCAGGCAGAGGGAGAGGGAGAAGCAGGCTCTCTCCGCTGAGCAGGGAGCCTGATGTGGGGTTCGATCCCAGGACACCGGGACCACGACCCGAGCTGAAGGCAGCCGCCCAACTGACTGAGCCACCCAGGTGCCCCACCAGTGCCCATTTTTAAATGCCAAGGCTATTATGTTTCACTGGGTTACATACATTTGTTTGAAAAATCACCTCTCAAATGTCAAAAACATCGAGTCAAATACTTTTCTCCTGGGTATTTAACTTCCCTGGCTGGTGAAATAAAAGGCTATTAGCACATACAATCTGTGTTTAGTGTGTTGGGGGAGCATCCTTGATCATTTATACCCTCTTGTGCCTCCAGCAGCTCCCCTTAAACTCCTGTGCCCCATCATCTCGGTCTCTTTAGCCCCTCATCTGAAACAAACCCAAATGAAACCTCAGTGGGCCAGATCTCTCTCCAAAAGTATAGCTGACGCTGCCTCCAATCTGTCTTCTTCCCTGCTGGAAAAGGTAATGAGTTGCTCTTTGAATGAAGTCCTGGTCTATTTTTTCCTTCCCTTGTGAATATTCCATATGCATTAGCTAACCTTTTTCTTTTGATTGTGTATATAGAACACAGGATATTATTCTAATCATGCAGGTATATGGCATACAACAAAAATTTAAAAATCCCATTAAGCCCCAATGTCTTCAAGGAAATAAAGGTCATAAAACTAACCTATAGTAAGAAGAAAAATAAAAGCCGATTTGCTCCTGAAATCTCCCGGCACTGAGGTAAAGAAATAGGCTCCTGAATCCTGTCTCTTCAGGAGACTACTGCCTTCTCCTTCGCTCTTCCTAACACTGAGGTAGCCCACCAAGGTGAGTTTTATGCGATGACTAATTTGCAAAAACTCCTCCCCTTGTCTCTTTCCTTTCCACCTGGCTTTTAAAGTTGGAGTTCAGGTAAGAAGCTGGCATGTCGTCAAATTTTAGTAATTGTGTTGGTCTCACAAAGTCTAACTAACCAAAGGTAACAAGAAGCCCAGAAGGGACTTCATGAGGACAGTATACAGCTTGGAAACTGATCTATAGTGAAACTTGGAAAACATGAGGAAACATTTCATCGCCTGGGATGATAGATAATGAATATAAACGCATTTTAATTGATAGAGACTTATCACCAAAGCTAGAATAGGAACTGGGAGCGATTGACCAAAAACATACTCATATATAACTTTTTGTCTATTTCTGACTATTTCTTTAAGGTAAATTCCTACATCTGCGATGGCTGAGTCCAAAGGCATTTGAGGAACAGTTTTTCAGATCTCTGATACATTGTTTCTAATAAAGATTTAAGCAGTTTCATGATGATTAAAAATGTTTGAAGATACCTTTTCCCTCCTCCTTGCTAATTACATAAATATTCCATTTTCTTAATGGAATGTGCCATTCTTGGAATATCAGTGAGTCTAAACTCCATTCATATATTCTTGGTCCATTTGTATTTCTTCTTTAGTGAATTTGATGAGTATCATTTCTACATTTTTCTATTCTTTTTGTTTAAAGAAATCTTTTAACATTATAAGTAGGAACTGTTTTTCCTCTCATATATTTTCCAAATATTTTCTCTTATTTTGTCATTAGCTTTTAAAAATAACATAGATTTTTTCCCCCATTTTTACCAAGTGAAATATATTTTTTCTTTTACAGTTAGTGGCTATTGTGTCATACTCCTAGTCTTCCCTATCTCAAGATTATAAAATTATTCATCTATATTATTATGTTTTTTATGTTTTCATATTTTTATTTAACTTTTTGATAGTTCCAGGGTTTCAATTTTTTTTTTGAGAGAGAAAGAGAGAAAGAGTGTGCACAGGCGAGTGGTGGGAGGGGGCGGGCAGAGGGAGAGGGAGAATCTTAAGCAGGCTCCACACCAAGCAAGGAGCCTGACATGGGGCTCAATCTCACAACCCTGAGATCATGACCTGAGCTGAAATCAAGAGTCGGACGCTTAACTGACTGAGCCACCCAGGGGCCCTCAGAGTTTAATTTTGATAGAGTGTGAAGCAATCCTTCAATGTCATCCTTTTTTCCAATAATCACCAGGTGCGTCTGCCCATTTTATCAAACAAGACATCCTTCCCTTACCATACTGGAAATGGCACTTTATAATATCTTTAATATTTAAATGTTTTGTTTTATTGTAGATATTCATTTTCTGCTCCACTAATGTTTCTTTATACTCAGATATCAAAATCACACTGTTTAAATATTGTTGCTTTAAAAGATTTTTGATATTTCCCTGTGTAGCCTCCAATTATTACTCTTCTTTTTCAATATTTTCTTGACTTTTTTTAAATCAAATTTACTTTTCTGGATGAAGCTTGGATTAATTTTTCACCATTCCTAGAAATAAAATTTAAATGTAGCAGTTAATTATGGAATAATTGACATCTTTATAACATGGAACTTCTCCACTCAATAATTATGTGACTGGAGGACTTTGGGGGATGTTATTTAATCTTTCCTCATCTATCAAGTGGGGATAATAATATCCAGAACTCTTGTGACGTCTCAGTGAGACACCAAATGTGGGAAACTGCCTACTTTTCCAAGTACTTGAGAAATAGCAGGTGCTCTTTTATTCCTGATATAGATTTGTAGTACCTTGGTAGCTTAATAAAAATATGGATTTTTAAAAAAGATTTTATTTATTTATTTGACAGAGAGAGACACAGCGAGAGAGGGAACACAAGCAGAGGGAGTGGGAGAGGGAGAAGCAAGCTTCCCCGTGGAGCAGGGAGCCTGATGCGGGGCTCGATCCCAGGACCCTGGGATCATGACCTGAGCCGAAGGCAGACGCTTAACAACTGAGCCACCCAGGTGCCCCTATTTCTTGAACCTTGTTAATGGTTTAAAATCATAGCTACTACTGGCCTATTGCTTACCTTTTCTGTTCTTTCTTTGTCAAGATTATGTTATCTTTGGTATTAGAGTTATGAGGAAGC